AAAATCCTGTATTTCTTCTCAATTATTTTCGAAGTAAAAATAACTGATATGTAATAAATATGTAAGCTTTGAGATTAAAAAGTACACATGCTTAAAAAGTATTTATAACATAAAAAGAAGAAAGTAAACTTAAAAAGGGGTATTTATACGAGATCAGAATAATAGTGCCTTAGCATTAACGATTGTTTGATTGAAGCTTTAGAATTAATTCGTACAGACTCCATCATTGAATCGTCGATGCTAGGATAAAATCTTACGTGTAAATACCACCAGGATATAAGGGCCTATGATATATAACATTAAAATTTATATACAATACCTTATGTACATGTATATATAAATGCAAAACATGTACATTGAATTATTTTCTGTACTGGGTTTATAGTACAGAACAACAAAAAACAGCAACAACAACAACAAAAAACACCAGCGTCATGCATCCAGATTCATGCCATTTTTCATGCACATTTTGAAAAAAAGTCAAAATATGCAAAAAGTCCTTACTGCGTTAGTCACGCGGTAGATTACAGCAAGATTAGTCGCATATAACATGCAAAATATTACTTGAAACTTTTTTCTCAAGTTTTTATTTCTTAAATATTTTAACTCATATGGCGGCATTTCGCTTTAACATTACATAGTATACATGTACGTGAAAATAGTCGTTAGCACTTAGCATTTAACGTTGTAAAGGTTAAACTATCAATTACTTTCCTTTTAGTTTACTCATTTGAAGGTCTGAAGCATTCAGCTTAAGAAGAGAGTCTTTCTTCAAGGGTTGATCAGCGGCGCAATAATACCAAATCATAGATTTTGTTAGTAAATCATTCATATAAACATGTAGAATATATATATGCACGTCATTCTGATTCATATACTCGTATTTTTTATGTGGCAGCCTTGAAAGTTATCAAGAAATTGTGAAATCCATTAAACGCATTTAATATTGACTGCGTCCTGGTTAATTTACCAAACGAAACAGTCCTTAAATGTATAAATTTTATGATTTATCAATAAAATAATGTATAAACAAGATATAGTTTTAGTGAATCATACAGGATTCTAGATTTTTTTATTTATTTTTTTTTTAGTATAAAAAGTTAACAGCTTTAAATATTTACGAGTTAATCACTTTTATTGCGGTAACCATTTGTTGACAAATGAAAGTGAATTGGTCTATAATGGAAGGCTTGTAGGTCTGTAATACTTTTTTGGATTGAGTTTTATCGTCATACCAACACAACATAGGTCATAATTATGGCGACTACAATGAATAAATTATCTTGGTCGAGTTTCAGACACAACAACAAAACACGAAAGAATTATACCAAGAGTACGAAATACATTATCCGATATTACATATGTAGCAGAAATTTAATTAATTGTTCTAGAAAAGAATATTTTGTTATTCATGATACAAATGTTCATACAATATCACTTAGAACTTTATCGATCTATTTATTTGGAAAGAATATCCAAGTGGTGAATTTAATGTTTTTAAATCAATATTTTGAGTACTGAACTGTGCCAATTGTACCCCAATCTACTTTAAAATTATGGGAGGTGTAAAATGTTAGGTGAATATCTTACTATTATTATATTTCCGCTTTCAACAATGTTATTTCCGGTGAATAACTGGGAGGAGTTGGTAGTTATTTCCGCAGTCGCATCTTCTCGGTCCTTTCCGTCAAACTTCGGTTATTATATATAATAACCGAGATGTTCCGGATGTTAATTACGGATAACAGGGAATGGTGTTGCGTATAATCAATTCATTACTTCAACATGGTTATAATTTGCCACGTAACAAGAATCCTCCTTCAACATATGAAATTTTCAGTCATGTGACATTTACACTGACGCTGTTCAAAAAGAAAAAAATCCCCCCTCAAAATCCCCCCAAAAACGTTACAAGGAAAGGAATAGTTTTGTTTTCTTTACTACACTGGAAAAAAATGCTTGGATAAAAATAACAGATGTTTTGTGAATATCAACATTAAAATATGACACCAGACATAATTTGATTACCTTTACAGATCTGTAAAAAATGCTGGAATCGTTCACAATCGTTTAATATACAGCAAGTTGGCGTCATTTCTGAGGATATTATTATTTTTATCTTTTTGCCATGTGTATGTGTCAGGATCAGTATCAATTGTTGAACATTGCATATATTTGTGGTGTTTTATTTTTTACAGCTGAACGTTAACATTAACAACGTAACGTAACGTCGTTCTTACGACAACACTGTACAAGCCTTTTCACAATCGCATCTTCTCGGCCCTTTCTGTCAAACTACGGATAAGTTATTATTGATAATAGCCGAGATGTTCCGATTGGCATTTTCTTTAAATTATAACTAAGATTTTAATTATTATTTGTCTGAATCTGTGTTGCCATTTTTTTGGCAATTATAATAAAATCACAGTTTGATATGTACGAGTACAAAGTAATATTTTGCGAAAAAGTTTTCTTTTTCTTTTCAACTACATTATTGTCTATCACTAAAGAGGTGATCCCTCGGAAGCAACGAAAAGTTGAATAATTATGTATCATGCTCACAAAAATATAACAATTGTTTAGTGTATATAATTATTGTGTATTTGTGTACATATAAGATATTTAACTGATGGCAAATTTTAAATAACTTAATAGTGCTCTTTAGATAACCAAGAAAGAAGGGTATTTGTAATTTTAGTACCGATTCGTAGCATATATATTATATTGTATGACATATATGTGTCCTGATATAAACATGAAAGTACCCGAAAAGAAGATGTAATCGCATCTTTTCGGCCCTTTCCGTCAAACTTCAGCTAAGGAATAATAGCCGAGGTGTTCCGATTGTATTTAGTTATCAAACCCGCTATTTTCGAAAATACAATGTATTTTTTTTATCATGTGCATGAAAATTTAAGTAAGGTACATGAAAGTTGTAAAATACATGAACTCCTCAATTTATTTATCTAATTTTGTAATCGTCAGTTCAATATATATTACAAATATATGGATCCGCGTGTTAACGCCCATTTCGGGTAAAAGAATGGTATATGGCTAAAATATATATGTTTTACAATTAAAGCAGGATACCTCCAGATTCATGCTTAAAATCTTTTTTAAAATATATAAAAATTAAAATATTGTCAAGTGAACAAAGAAAGTAATTTAGACATTGCAACGGCACAATATAGGTCAGAATATGCAAAATAAACCTCTTATTTCGTTAATCACGCAGTAAAGATGTGATGTTAAATACTGCAAAATCTGTCATTAATTGCATATAACATGTTTATCATTTATTGAATTGTGAATGTTTTTGCTTTTCTTAAAATTTTGGTACAAAGTTGATTTCCGATCATTTCCGAAAAAACCGATCATTTGAAGAATGGGTATGCTTTCTCCTATAAATTGCATTGTAAGTTGAAAAAATACGACAATTGTTCTTCTGATTACAAGCATAAAGATTAATCTGAGTAAATCAATCAATTAAATGTGGTCATTTATTCATTTAAAGTTTATGTCTTCAATACCAAAGATTGTAACTATCAAATGCATGAGATTCAATATATTGTATAAGGACATATTTATACTCAATTATTCATATAACAAATTAGTTAAAACTATATTTTAACTAGTATAATTATAAAATTATAAAAATTATAACTATAGCTTGCTTTGCTAAATATGCGAAAATGTATTCTAAAAGTGATGCGTGATATGGTGGTAAAATGACAAATGTTATTTTTTGTTATTATTCGTGTTAGAATGTGGTTTTCTTTTGATTCCAAGTGTTAAAAACATTACACCTGTTGTGTGAGTAACACCTTGCTCTCTCTTACTTTCAGTTCTTGAAGAGTTCTACAAATCTGCTATTTTATACATGATATCTGAAAATAAATGTAAAGGTAGACTAGAAAACGGTGAATGTAAAACATCCTGTGAATACAGTGTATAGTTTCCATGTTCACATATATAAAAAAAGTAGTTATTTCGACCCATTTACAATCATGTGCAGCAATTGTAGCGATTTTGCTTGTCTTTATCAAGACATTTTTCCCTGAAGCTAGACATTAAATCTTCTTCCATCAGTAAAATTTATTTGTTGATGTTTATTCTTGATATCAAATGAAGAACAATGAAAAAACGGGAAACAAATCATTTCACATTCTCTATGAATGCTCAAACAGATTATTAAGGTATATACTTTACAGATAGACTTATAACAAACATCTGTTCCAATTATCATTACAGTCGTGTGTTCCCGGCATGGGATGCATATTTCATTGATAGCCTTCTAAAGATTACGTTGATTCTGATGGCTGCATAGATATGTATGTGCATACAGATGTGTTAATATTTATCTTTTAAGCAACCTTTACGCGCTACACGTAACTTTAACACAATATACCCAAAACCTTTACCACAGATTTTACAGGTTATAACAAACTTTACTTCCTCGCCCCAATGAGTAAGATGCATATGTTAACTTATTATTCTTTTTGTTAATGATCAAAGACAAGTTCTTGTACAATAATGATAATTATACGTTTCCATAGCAACCTACAAACTATGTATAATATCTACACAGAGAGCACAGTGGTACTACTTTGAGAGTTCCATACACCTTGTTCCTGCTACCTGAGCTCATTCCATCCTACAAAAATCGTAGGTAAATAAACAGTAAGTGAAACTTCTTCCGTTTAATTTCAAGGCAAATTCATTACAACCATATGCAAGAAAATAGGCAAAGATTTACCTCTGCGTGTAGGTCAGATAAAAATAATATGCAATAATCACTAATCGCGTTAATAAAAGATAATCAAAGAGATAATGCCTCCCTGTGGATTCTGAGTGGTACGGTCTGCTTTACGTCTGCTTCTTTTGCAGTTTCCAAAGAAGGGTGTAACACAATCATGCCAATTCGTGACGTATCTCAAGATGGCGGCGACCTAGTTAAAGGTCGACGATCATTGGTTGATACAAGCATTCCTGTGGTCTCCCCCGAAAATAACGTTTCAGACGAGAGTACTAGTACTTCAGCATAGCCCTTTCGAGTTTGCGGCAGCAGGATTGTGGTTCTGACAGCTCTCGTCTGCTAAAGTCACTTGTAGCTTCGACATTCCTATTTATTTTATTTTATTTGTGTGTTAGGTGAGAATAAACTAAAAATCAGCCATGGATGCCATCAAGAAGAAGATGCAGGCAATGAAATTGGAAAAGGAAAATGCCTTGGATAAAGCAGAACAGTTAGAACAAAAACTTAGGGATGTTGAGGAAACCAAAGCAAAGGTAAGTGCCATTTTTTCTGTGTTTTTTGTTTGTTCTATCTCAGACACAAGTATACAGTTTAAGTAAAGTATTGTTTGGCTTAGTTTTCCATTACTAGAGCAGAAAAGTTTAAAGACAGGAGTCCAATATATCTTATCTTTACTTATGTTCGATAATTTGAAACTTCCGGTCAGCAAACACATCTTTCAAGGTAAAAATGCAGATTCAGTAGGTAGCAAAAGATTTTTGTTGATTCTTTTTCAAATTCTGCATTTAGAATACATGTATAAGTTCAGAAAGGAATTTGCAAAAGAACTGTAAATGCTGTTAATGTATTTTTGTTCTAAGCACTGATGCAAAACATAAAGAATTACAAATAATTATGAGAATAACTGTCTTGATTTTATATGAAACAAACTAAAATAGAGAGAGAGAAAAGGCTTGCAAAAATACGGAAAGTATATTTCTAGGAATTGTTCTACATCTCAGATCAATCTCTGCATGTCGGCCATCTTGAAACATGAGCTGTGTTGTGCAATGACTAACTCATAGCTTATATGGCATGATATGGTAGACGAAAGTTACATTGTATGCTACGTTATGTCTATTGTTATAAGTAAAGGTTTTTAACGATTATTTGTCCAAGACAATGAAAATAGTTTCTGATGCTTGATAAATAATATATTTTAATTAACTGCACTTACCTGGTATTATCGTACCACTGCACCGTTTCCAAATATGTCGTTTTATAAGAAACACGTGACATTCAGCATGCTGAAAATAGACAAGTGATCTTTATTTGATGGAAATGAAGAAATATGTTTTTAAGTATTTGAGTCAGAAAATGCCCTTATTCTGTTCGTAATTAGCTTTAATTCTGTTTGTTTTTTTTCTGTCCAGACCGTCTTAGTATTTATGTTTATACATATATATACAAGCATGCTTTTCATATTTCTTATATCGTGATTTTATTCACAAAGAAAATGTCTTAAGATTTAAACAGATCGCTCATATCTTTCTATAATTATTAATGATAAACAAATGAATTGCTTTTGATTAACTGATAAACTTAAATTTAACATTCAAGAATTATTGTTCAAGAGATATAGATCGATTCGCCTTTCAACGAATAGCTTTCTTATCAATAAAATATTATTTTCAAACAATTCTGTGAAAAATTACACAATGTAAGTAACGTAAGTAACGGAGATGGCATAACGTAAATGACATTTTTTTTCGTTACAGGCAGAGGAAGATCTTACTCTTCTCCAAAAGAAATACACAAACCTCGAGAATGAGTTCGACCAAGTCAACGAAAAATACAATGAAGGTGTCAACAAGCTTGAGGTCTCCGAGAAACGTGTAACAGAGGTGAGTCCTCAGTTGTTGTTAATTTTTTTTAGATATTTAAAAAGTTTGTAATAAACGCTATGTATATACATGTAATGTTTGTTGCATATGTTAACAGCACGTTAAAAAATCACATAAGTGTATGAGAATGTGTGACTTTAATTTTACAAAGAACGAATCATCGTTTTTATCATTTCAGAGCTTAGAATTATTTTGCCATTTTTCACATGATTGTTCAAAGTTGACACACATATTCATATGCACATACATGTATATCGGTGTTTATTTGTTTTCCCCTTGTACTAATGTGTTAACACAATAACACATAAACTGCTGTGACATCATTTTATTTACTACTTATAAGCATACATGCATATGATTTTCAAGTATAAATAAACAGAATACGTTGAATTATCATTTGAATATTCATAGAATCGAATTTTACTTACAATTATTACACAATGTTTCAGTAACTGAAACCTAAAGAACCATAACGCCTGGCTAAATACGTTACCGTTTCGTTTATAATGAGATAAATTCAAAAGCAAATTCTTATATTAGGCATATGAATTAATGATGTAATAATTGACATCATGCTTGAATAGTTAAATGTCATAAGTAATTTAGTTCGTAGAAAAATGCGTATAATTGCAGATTGCATCTTAAACTTTGTAACGTAGATTGCACTCCTTACTAACTTTACTTACTTGCTAACGTTGTCCCCATTTATTGTAACTTTTTAAATGATTCTGTCGGAACAATATAAGATAAATGCAATGTTTTTTTCTTTAATATTAGTCTTGCATGATTCGACAAAATGAACTATCTGGTCTAACAGCCTATGAAGTCACACTGACGCGTATGACTATAACCTTAACTGATTGTTTTATATGCTTTCTATAATTGTTACAGTTTATTTTACGCTTTATTGTGTGAAAATGTGCTCTGCTTATTAGATGTGATGAAACATGTGCAAATTTGTGAAAAGTTTTGAAAACTGTGCTTACCTTTTTGTGCGTAAGGATACTTCGATGGTGCATTCGGCTGTGGACGGAATTTAGCGTTCTTGACGGAATTTACTTGCCAGAATTAATGTTAATTAGTTGGACTAAATATATGACCCCAAATGAATGTTGTTTTGTTGAAACGGACTTATTTGACCGGACTCGAAATCCGATCTAATCATCTAAAGGCGTAATCTCAAATACGATTTCAATTGTATTTCAATGGATATTGGTTTAACATTCGTGCAATGTTTACAGTATATTTTTTATTCTTAATGATATTGGCTTAATAAAGTATAAGTAAAATGATGTGTTATAGGAGGTGAAATTTGAGAGTGATGATGAGTATTAAAAAAGATGTGACGTCATTGTTTATCGATGTAATGACATGTCGATGTAATTAATCAATATCTAGTTCTTCACATCCCTCCTACATTGACTATAGGCATAATGAAGGCCTTAGACAATAATCATGAACTAATTATAACATGTATCAACATTTCCATATTCTATTTAATTATGTCTTGGAATGAATTATGATCATGGCATGTTACTAATTAGCTATGATATACATATATCAAACATAACCGATAAGATCAAGCTTTCACTGCGTCTTCACATGCTTCAGTCCCTCAACCAAAGAAGCTTTACTGGGGGTTATCTCTGATTACGTATCTATAGACGTTTGCAAGATGTCTGATCTGTGAGGAAAAATGAAACACTTTCCGTCATCGTATGATCAAGGTTTTTTTCCAATTATTGGCACTTTTACAAAAAAAATTACATACATTACTAGATTTTTTGTTGATCACGACATTGAGCCGATATGTTACTGTATGTAATGAATGATTTTTTGGTAAATAAAGTACCGAAATAACACATTTTTAAAGGACTAACTAAGTAACGCCGCAATGAAGATTTCAAAGTTCATGTGCACGTATTTCGCCTTTTTTGGTATTGTGCGTTATTTCCGTTTTTAAAGTACACAGCAATTAAAACGAAATGATATATTTAATTGGAATGCTTTTACAGGAAATTATTTTGCACATAATGGCCTACCAGTGTTATAAATCAATTTTCGGAACTCAAATCTTTTCAATTTCACAATGTTAAAGAAAAAAAATGTTTCTCCTACTGTGTCCCGTTCGTAGTAAAAAGACAGGTGAATACTTTAGATTTCTGTAGGACATACAATATTTGAAAGGAAACTTTTCTTGAAGCGTTTTAAAACGTAAAGAATGATAACGAAATAGATTAAACACTAGAAGTATCTGGAGCTGCCCCATTTACCAGAAAATTGCATTGTACAAAGATTGTTGAATAGGTTGTTCAAAGAATTTTCTGACTATCAGCGGAATTTGGGATATACCTCAGTATTTGACACTTCGCCAGACAAGTGCTTTACTGTGTGTAGTTCTTATGCTGTTTACATGAATACTAGCGGCAATGAGAGTTTCTTAATATTGTTGCTTAGCAACGGTAGTTATCTTTAGGCCTCGCTTTATCGTGTAGGTGATTGTTATCAGAAAATAATGGTGATTAATACCTGTACCGGTAAATCCATCCCAGAAATAATAATTATAGGTATGGAATGGAAAGTTCTGAAAATCTGCCGATATGGTTCTTTTTGAAATTAACGTAACTATGAGAATATACTTGAACTTTTAGAATATAAACATTTGGCTCTTTAATCTACCCGAATAGTTGTTATATTCGAGTGTGATAAATGAGTAGGCCCTATTTTAGATTTTTTTCTCTCGTTAATTCTTACTATTAGCTTGGTGTAGAGGCGATAGCTTTCAAGCATCTGAATTAATTATTGAAGTTATTCGATCTAACAATAATTGCATTTAACAATTAACTATTAATTTGAGATGTAAAAGTATTAATTGTTGCGTTAATAAAATAGTCACAAGGGGCATTACTCTGGGGCGTTGTTAGATCTATATGTGGCCTGAACAGAAAGTACCGATACTGTAAAAAGCAAAAAGTTACAATGAAAAAAAATATGAAGAAACAACAACAACAACCAAAGTAGCCAATATCCAGGTATTTCTTGCGCGGATAGGCCTACATTCGTACATTCTTTTCTGCGAAATATTGGCACGCTCTCAGATATTTATCTTAACATTCTTTCCTCACCTGTTTGTGAGTCTTGTGAGTGACTCAACAGAAATGAATTAAAATCGAATAATAATGATCGAAGATTTTGCTATTGAATTGGTATTAAGGGTTATATTTCTATCGAACATACGGGTCCATCAGAATCTGTGTCTTTCTTTCTTTTTATTTCTGATCACTCTTTAATTTGATTTGATTTAATTATGATTAAATTTAGCATTTTTTAAAATAATAATAATAATAATAATGACATGGTTTTGAAGAATCACTATATAAGGTCTAATCAGTCCCATTTTTTAAACTGATTTGAATTGGTTCCGAAGCTAATTAGGCCTAGATCTATTACCTTTCCTGACTGCATAAAAAAAAATGATACGTTCTATCCGAGGCGGATTGTTTTCATGGAAGGTTAAAATAATGTTACAAACTTACACGTAATAATATAATAGATATACAGTAGTTGAGAACTTGAGATGCTCTTTTAAAACTATCTAGCTATGTAAACATGCGCTTGATCTAGTACTGAATGTTTTTCTGTAGTTCTGCTCACGTCATTTAAAGATACAAATAATAATTCATGCGGTAAAAATTCATATCGGTTAAATGCGCAAGTAATTCATGATATAAATAATTGTGTTTTTCAAATTTTTGGTATTTCAAAAATGCTCTCTGGGTCAATCCTACTACTTTATGCAAATGACATACCATATAAGGGCATTACACTACATAAGCAAGTCATGTGACATCATTTAGACGATAATGTTTGAATTTTAAGCGTTTTGCGGCTTTATCTTAATAAAAGGAAACTACAACGATTTATTTTTCATTTACATTTTACATCGATGTTAGCTGGTTATTTAGGAATAAAATAAAAGTATTTTACATTTTCTGTGTGTTAGAATTCGGGTTTACTTTTTTCGCGTGTTTAGTCATTTGTGTGTTCTTCGGCCCATCCGGTTTTGACAGTGGCAGCCATTTTCTGTTGGATTTATTAGGAATATTAAAATAAACATGAATGCCAGACAAAATGCAGTGGCGGGCGCTGGCCCGCTTAAAGCTCTTAAAGACAAAATGACCGGTTTACGACAAGAACTGGAAGATTATAAAGACCGGTGTGAATTAGCAGAAAAAAAAGCAAAGGATGAGATGATCGAGAGGGAAAAGGTGTAGCCTCGTATTTTCATTTCCGCGTTGTTTCGTTCAATATTTTACTCGTTCTTATATGTGATTGGTTAACATACGCATTGTTTTACGTTTATTTTATAAATATTGATTCAAGGGCATGTTTAATAATGTAATTGCTAGCGTATTTCACACAAAATCACAAAATTTACCTGCCGGTACGTTTTTGAAAGTTTCCCTTAGGTGACCCCAGTTGTGTATTGACGCCGGTATCTTGTATGGTCATGTTTATAGATCATTTCTAATTTTCAAATTAATGTCAACACATGAGTGCATGAATATGTCATGAAATGCAGATTATATTTCGATATAGTAGCTTGAAAATTGCAGACAATTTGATATTATTTATAAATTGGTCACAATGTCTTTACCTGTCAAAAATGCAAAAGTAGACAAAATACCTTGAAATGAGGCCCCTTTTAAATGAAGCATTAAGGTTACTTTTAAATTTAGAAGTAAACAAGTTATATATGTTAGCTAACATCATTTCATGATTATTCAATGAATCTCATGCAAACATGTTAAATCTATGTATTCTCATTTATATATAATGCAATTTGCATTTGTATGACTCACTAGCAAAGAGATGGTTTAGTTTCACTTCAGGAGAATTAAGGTCAATCTCTACTTAACTTGCAAAAGGGTTTATTTGGAAACACTCAAAAGATACAAATTCTGTGCTTGTCAATATTTGTGAAAATGTTTGTTTTTTTC